CATCCGAGTGCACTCAGAGCCTGAGCCCCAGACGTGTGTGCACATCCTTAGCCTGTGTGCAAGCCCATCGCCCACCTGCACACCCGCCTCCACGCATGTGCCCCTACACAGCCTCGGCTGCCTGCGTGCCCAGCGGCACATGCACATCCCCCCTCCCCCGCCTGCGACACCCTGGCTCCAGCCCAGCAGGGAGTCCCTGGGCGGGATCTGGGAGCCGAGCCTGCAAACTGGTGCACACCCCCAGTGGGGTGCAGCCACTTTGGGTTTCCTGGGGTGCTGTCCCAGAGCCACCCCTCGCTCCAGGGCTTGGTCTCCAAACCCCCTGGGCTACCAGATGGGTGCCCGCCTGCCTCCAAACAGGCCGACAGAGGCCTCTCCCCTTTATCCACTTGGGCATTCAGCATGGACATCCGTTCTCCCTGCCTTCACCCCACACCCCGCTCTCCACCGGCCCTCAGCTCCCTCAGGGCCTGGCTCAGCCCGGGAAGGACACGCAGAGGCCCCCTGTTCCCGCAGTGTCTCAGCCGCCCCTCGTGCTGTGGGCAGACCCAGGGGTGGTTCCGGGGAAACCAGGTGCCCCCAGCACCCAGGCAGGCTGTGCAGGGGGCTGTGGGAAGGAGACACGGTGCTGTAGGGAGCGGGGAGCCAGAGCAGGTGTGAGCGGGAGGGTGGGCGCTGGCACGGCGGGCGGCGGGCGCAGCCGCCAGACAGAGCGGAGCCCTGTGCCAACAGCCCATCAGCTGGGCTTCGGGAGCGAGCGAGAGGCAGGAGCCTGAGAGGCGGGAGGGACCGCTCCTGGGGCCTCCCGACATCTCAGCGAGGCCTTCTTTGCCTTTACAACCGTTTCGGTTTCCAGAAAAGGAGGGCGCCCGCGTGGAGGCTCCCTTACGTCAGAACAAATGCATGTCTGCTCACCTCCCTGCACACAGGCCCGTCGGTGCCTCCGTCTGGCCGTCCCTCCGTCTGGCCGTCCCTCCGTCTGTCCGTCCCTCTGTCCCCTCCTTCCCCTCTGCCCTCCTCTCTGGGCTTGTGGCAGGGGCCATGCAGACCTGTGCAGGGGTGTCAGTGGCCCTGGGCTGGAGGCCCCCGGGCTCCGGCAGGAGCACCCTCATCTGCTGCCGCCCTGGCCGAGCAGGTGGGCCTGGAGACAGGTTGGCGGAAGAAGGCCCCACGACCCTTGGCGGTGCCTGACCACATAGGGCCACCTCTGCCACCTACTCAGTGCCCTACTCGGTGCACAGGGACCCTACGGGCAAAGGCTGGGCTCAGTGGTCACTTGACACTGTCCAGGTGTCAGGACATTCCAGCCCAGCTCCGTCCAGCTAGGACAGCCAGGAGGGCAGCAGCTGCCACTACCAGGGTCCAGGTAGCCTGTCTCCCGGTCCGGTTGTCCGGGCCCCGGGCTGTGGGCACACACAGGCTCCGGGAGTGGGGCCGTGCTGAGGAGCTGGGCCACCAGGGGGTGTCAAGCAGGCCTCCCGCGCGGGCTGGCTTCCGGAGCGGTTTTCTCAGCCAGCCTGGGGCCTGGGCCAAGCCTCCGTGGTGCGCTGGGCAGAGCTGAGGCAGAGCCGGATTGTGGCTGGAGCCGTGTCTGGGGCTGCAAGCCCGGCTGGGCTGGCCAGGCGGCGGCAGGGGGTTGCTCCCAGCACAGAACGGCCCGCCCAGGGGCCTGCCAACACCTCACACGGCGCTCAGGCCCCTCTCCGAGATCACCCTGAGCGTGCGCTGAGACAGCCCGTGGCATGGCCACCCTACCGTGCACCCTGGAGGGGACCTGGTGGCCTTGGAGAGGACAGGCCTCGTTCAAACCCCAGCCCGGGCACTTAGGACTCGGAGGCCCAGACTCACGGTGCCCCATTCCTTTGCCAGCCGAAGGGCGGCCCCCCACCTGGGACAGCGGGGTCACAGATTAGTCTGAGGCTTGTAAAGCCCCCGGAGCAGACAGTGCCGGCCTCGGGGTCCCTCCCTGCCGTGCGGGGCTCCCTCCGGCCCCTCCCGGGCCGCTGACCGCGGCACTCCACGGGCAAGGACCTTGCCCAGTCCCCAGCCAGACTTGGCCACGCGGCTCCGGCCCTGGCCCGGGCCCAGGCCGCCTCTGCTCAGGCTCTGTCTGGGGCTGACTACTGGTCGGCGGGCGGGGTTGGGAGGTGGCAGCCAGGTCTGCCATGGCTCTGCTGGCTGGGCACGGTGCCATCACCAAACTCCTCGGAGGTGGAGGTGACAATGGGAACCGGGACACTGTGTCCAGTCTCCTCCCCGACACCCCCACCGCGGAGCCTGCCCGGGGAGGCCTGCAGGACCGTCTCTGCTTCCAGCCCCCCTAGCCCAGGACGGTGCAGGGCAGAGGACCCTCAGAGCAGGGATGCCGGGGCTCCACTGTGCGGGCTGGGGGGCGGCGGCAGAGCGTTGGCTTCCTGCCAGCCCAGCGCCTGCACCCTCAGGGCTGGCCCGCTGGTCGGGGAGTGAGAACCCCTGGCAGGACCGGCCCGAGGGCGGGGGTTCTGGTGCTACCCGGGCACCGCAGTCTCCCATGGTGCACTCCGGGAGCCTTGTTGCTTGAGCGTTTTGTAACAAACGTGTAGAAAAGTAATCTTTGTGCCTCAGGGCTCCTGTCTGAATGTAGAAAGGAGTGGAGACCCCCAGGGGATGGCCCAGCCGGAGGTGGGACACTTGCGGACCCCTGCGGGTCCCCACGTAGTCGGGAGGGGCTGGGCCCGGGGACCCCAGGACTGAGGCCAGAGGGCTGGGAGGGGCTGGCCTAGAACCCTGCCCTGCCCCCTCATTCCCCACACCGCCTTGTGGACTTGGGGAAGCTAGCTGTAAGGAAGCACCCCGAGAGGGTCCCCTAAGTCAGGGGACAGGCCACAGCAGGAAGCACAGCCTGTCACTGGCGTGTCCTCTGTTTCATGGAGCCAAGACCGAGGCTGGCTGAGCTCTGGCTTACCCCCACCGCACCCAAAGGCCCCACGCAGGGGAACCCCCTTCTGGGATGGTGTCAGAACAGGGCACCCATGAGAGTCCCCACCCAAGGCCAGGAGCAATTCCCATTGTCCAGTTTAAGGATCCAGTTGGGTCAGACCCCCCGCACCCGCCCTCGCCCTAGGTGGTGACCCTTGGGGGCCTGAGTCGAGGGTCTTCAGAGGTTGCCTGCGCGAGACCCTCTGATGGAGCCACCTCTGAGCCTTGGGTTTCCTGGCTCCGAGGAGCAGAGGGCCCTGGGGACCGGCCCGGGGCCTGGGCCAGCCCCCCACCGTGGTGTGGGAGCAGAGAAGGTGTGGGGTTCTCAGGCCAGGCTCCTGGAGAAATCCCGTCTCCAGACCCGGCGTTTGGACTCGGTTGCTTCCCACTGTCCCCTGGAGGAGCAGGGTATGAGGGACTTTCCGGGGGGTGTGGGGGCGGAAGGCCTGGGGGACTTGGGGCGGCCTGGGTGAGGCCGGAAGAGGCTGCGATCATGCCACAGGCATGCCTCCTCCCAGGGTCTCTGAGCCCCGCAGGGCCTGCCCTCCCCTCCGCCCTGCTCCACCCACCGCCTGGGAGGCCACCGCTCCCTTCCCAGCCCAGCATCCCCTTCCCTGGCTGGACGTGCCTGCGGTCTGGCCTGGGCCCATGCAGTCCTCGCCCTGCGGTCCGGGAAGTCCCTGGCTCCTGGGCCCCTTCGCCCCCTGCCCGGGTCCTCGCAGGGTCTGCCTGCGGCCCACCACAGAGGTCAGCTCACACTCTAGTCCCCGGCCAGCAACGACAGGCCCTCCCTCTGTGGCGTGCCCAGGAGAGGCCCCTGACTTCCACGTAGCCGCCCGTTCACACAGCGCGGAGGGGGGAAGCTGCCAGGGTCCCCAACGGGCAGCCCCTCCCTCTCCCCGGCTCTGGCCTCCCGCCTCTCTGCTGAGTCACCCTGTGTCTGGGAAGCTCCCAGGGCCACGCCGGGCTGGATGAGGCGTCACAAATTTACAAACTCTCCTTGCCTCCCAGGCTGGGAAACAGCTGCCTGACTCACCTTGGGCCGGGCCTGCAGCCTCCAGGGCCCCAAACCCTGCACACCCTGACAGGTCCTGCACTCAGCCCAGTGGGCAGCACCCTCAGGTCCCTGCTGCCCATCGCCCGGGCCGTCCCAGGCCAAGCTCACTGCAGATGGGGCGGTGATGAGGTCCTGCTGGGTGGGGCCAAGCACATGGCCTGGGACCACCCACCAGGCACTGGGCTGCCCCTGGTGCTGGGTGTCGGGCCTGTTCTCCCTGCACAAGTCACCGGCTCCATGGGAACCCAGGCTCCCTCGGCTTGGCCTTGGCCACTGGCCTTGGGCAGAGCAGGGACACAGTGGGGAAGGGTGTGCACGGGGAGCTGGGCCAGTAGGCGCGGAGCCTGTCGGCTGGGCAGTGACAAGTGTCCTGGGCTGAGACTGCGGCTCCATGCTGGCCTGGTCGAGACCGGACCTGAGCCACAGGGGGACATAGAAGCAGATCCGTACCCCTCCGTCCTCAGCCTCCTCCTGTCCTCCCTCCTCCCCTGCCTCAGTTTCTCCTCTTGCTCACCTGGAGCTGGGAACCCCCATCTGATGAGCCAGTTAACTGGACCGAGGAGGAGGTCGAGGCCCCATTGAGGGGAGAGGCCAGGGACTGCGGGGCCCACCCTTTCCGGGAGCTGTGGACAAAGCACTCTGGCAGGTCCCAAGGCCAGGCGGCCCGGGAGCCAGGGACTCTGCCTGCCGGAAGGCTGTCCCCTGGACAGTCTGTCCGCCATGGGCCCCAAGCAGACCTGGCACCTGGGTGGTGAGGGTGTTAATACAGGGGCCATTCCTGAGGCTTTGTGGTCACAGGAGGGAACTGGGGCCTCCAGACCCTGAGCATGACCACCGGGGATCCCAGTGGGCAGCTTCTGCCGTCCAGGTTTCTTGGACATTTGAAGATAAAACCCCAGGGAGCTTGGGGGCTGAGAGCCATGTGCTGCGGGCTCCGCGGAGGTGCTGTCCCTGCCCAGGCTGACTGTTGCTCTTGTGCCCACAGCCAGCAGCCGCCTGATGGGGAGCTCGCCGGCCTCCTCTTTCATGGGTAGCTTCCTCACCGGCAGCCTGGGCTCAGCGGCCTCCGCGCACGCCAGCGGCCCCACACCCTCCCCCTCGGAGCAGGCCTACCGCGGCTCCCACCCCGCCACCTCCCAGATCTGGTTCTCCCACTCCCACGAAGGTAAGTCAGAGTGACCAGCTGGGGTGCCCAGGCCAAGGGTGACGCAGTGGGCGCCCCGCTGTGCCGAGGGTTCTGCGCGGGGCTGCCTCCCTCTCCCGGAAGCCCCGTGGGAGAGGTCGTAGCTGGTTGGAGAGGGGGTGGGCCTGCCAGGCAGTGGTCCTGGCCAGATGTGCTCGCAGATGGGCGGGGGAAGGGAGGGAGGCGGGGCCAGGGGGGCTCCAGGGAGCCGAGGAAATGTGGAACACAGCTGGGCTGGTCAGGCTGGACTGCGCCCTCCGCCCTGGGCTGCGCCCACCCCAGACTCGGGGAGGCGTGGGCTCCAGATGTGCCAGCTGGGAGGGGTGCCGGGAGGGAGCTGTCATCATGCCGTGGCTGCCACCCCGGGCCCTGGCCTGGCAGAGCCCCTCCCAGGCCCCAGCCTCCTGGGGACGACAGCGCTGTGTGCACAGTAGGTGCCTAGGAACACATGTGGCTGGAGGCAGAAGGGCCCCTGGAGGCCATGCGAGGGCTTCCAGGACCCCACTGCTCAGCCTTGGCACGAGGACGTGGGTGGTGGCCCTGGGCCCGTGGCTGGTGTCCGCTGGCCACCCTGTCCCCCGCGGCATGAGAGGGGTTAAGCCCAGCGGCGGCTGGCACGCGGAGAGGTAATTGCAGTTGGCAGCGGGCACAGAGGGCTCTCCGCTCCTGGCACCGGCACCTCTGTAACTCAATGACGGCCGAGCGAGCGAGCGGCGGGCCCTGTGTTTGCAGAGCGCGGACCTACACACACCGTGCGCCGCGTTCCAGGCGGGAGATTAGGGCCCCGCGCGGCTGCAGAGCGAAAGAAACCTCTCTTTGTGCGACAAGAAAGGGGCTGTTTTCCAAACAGGACAGGTGACGAGTGAGGGACAGTTGTTACACTAATCTGGGCTTTAAGCACTGTGCGGAGCGCACATGTTGGGCAGGCGATAAGGACCAGCCCTCTTCCCGGGTGGAGGGGAGGCCCCGGCCCTGAGGACCCAGGTGGGCAGAGCAGGGGTCCTGGCCCAGGCCCACCTCCCCCACCCACTTCCCGAGCCTGCGCTCCGGAAGGAGCCCGGTGCCGCCGGGTCTGGGCCGTGCTGTGGGCCCACCTGCCTGTCCCGGCCCTCTGCCCACTGCGTCTGCGGCACACTCCCGAGGGGCAGGGGCGGCCTGCAGCCGCCTTGGGGGCCACCTCAACCGAAATAACGGCCGCTGTCTGTCTGCCCCAGCCACAGGTGTGCAGGCACACCAGGCCGCTGACTTGGTTTCCCCGCCCTGGGTAGGGGTCCCTGGAAGGGGCCTGGGAGCGGCAGCCGCTCTGTCCCTCCTTGGGGACCATACCAGCACGGATGGCAGTTTGTGGGCAGGGCCACCTGCCCCAGGGCCCCGGAAGAAGGTGCCCCCCGTCCTGCCCTCCTGGGGGCTGTTGGGAGGGTGGGCGGGAGGCGGTCTGCAGGCCCCCTCAACAGCCTCCACTCACTTCCCCTGAACCAACGGCTGCCTTGGCGGGCTTGGGGCAGCCACCGCCCTCCGCCGCAGCCCAAGGGAGTCCACCTGGGGGGGCGGGAGGCCAGTGTGGGGTGGCCCCTGGCCTGTGTCCCGTCCTGCCCCTGCCCGTCCTATGCCCTGGAGAGGCAGCCCCTTCAAGGCAGGGGCAGCCTGGGCAGGGAGAGGGGCAGGTGCTGGGTCACACCAAGGGGTTCCTCCCCATACCAGCTCCAAGGCTCACAGTCATCTGTCCGACCCCCAGCCCCGAGCCTCCTGGGCAGACACCCCACAGAGTTCGAGCGTACAGAGTTCGAGCGTTGAGGCAGTGGGCTTGGTGGGTGAGCTTGGGTGGGCACAGGAGCTACCCTCCCAGGCTCCAGAACAGGGGGTCGGAGGTGAGTGTGGGGCCCCCCTGAGGTCAGCTCGTGAGTGTCCACCCTGGGGACCCTACGGCCACATACACCTGCCAGCGGTGCCTCAGTGGACCCCTGCCGCCTGCCCTTTGTGCCTCCAGCAGAGCTGTCCTGCCGGGATCCCCTTCCGGCGGGGGTTCCCCTGCCCTCCGCCCGCTCAGCCGGCTCACAGCCCACGTGGTGCTGCGAGCGCAGAGAGGCTGGCGAGCGGCGGCGGGGGTGGTGGCAATGCTGGCTGGCTGGCTGCCCTGGCAGCGTGCCTGGCTGCTCGTTTGACTGGGTGCCAGCTGGACCCCCGCATGCCCGGGCCTGTTTGTCTGCCGTGTAGGGGGGGCGGGGGCACGCGACACGGCTGGAGAGTGGGGGCCGGCAGGCACATGGGCTGCCCGGGAGGCTCACAGTCTCTCACCCTGACCCATCCCTTCCTTCCACCAGCCGCAGGAGGGGCAGAAGGCGGGTGCCCCAGAGCCTGGCCAGGGCTAGGGCTCTGGAGGGGATCTCATCTTTGCAGCAGTTAGTGGGGGCAGGTGCTGAGGATGGGCCCAGGTGCCCACACTCCAGGTAGGCCCCCACCTCTCCATTGGACCGGGCCATCCCTGGGGGGCAGCTGGAGTGCAGGGGAGGGGCCCAGAGCTGGGGGAATGTCCCTGGCCCCCCAGGCTTACCCAAGTGAGGGGTCCTGCCAGAGGCCGGACATTCCCTTCTGGGGCTTAGGGAGGAGGTGGGAGGTAGAACTGGCCAGGGTTGGGTGAGCCAGTGTCCAGCCAGCTTCCTTGTGGGTCCGGCTGGGGCGGGGGCGTAGCACAGCTGGTCCTATTGTCAGGGAGCCTAGCCCCTCCCTCTCCGTTGCACCCCACCCTCCAGCTGCCTGGCTAGGACCACCCACAGGGCTGATGAAAGCGGATTCTGTTCCTGGGGGCTCCGCTGGGAGGGGTGCGCTGAGCCCCGGGCTGCAAGGCCTGGGCTACTCCTGGTCTCTTGTGCCACCTGGAGGGAGAGCTGTGGGCCGCAGTGGGCTCACGTGCCAAGGCCGCCTGGGCCTGCCAGGGAGCCGCGCCCTCCCCTCGCACGCCCTCCCCTCCGCCACTTCTCCGTCAGGGCCGGCTGGTGGCCACAGGGGCTGTTCCCAGCCCACCCCCCGACTTCCCCACCAGCTGCCCCTCTGAGACCTTAGGGCTGGTCAGGGCTTCTGGGAGCAGGCGGGTGGCAGGACCACGTCTGTGTGGGGACAGAAGTCCCACCCAGCGGCCAGCACTTCTGTGTGGTCTCGGGGGCTCTCCTGGCTCCCCCAGCTCATCCTCCAGAACTGCCCTCCCCGCCTGGACCCTGCTCCCTCCCCGCCCGGTCAGCCCTCCTCCCTCTCCTGGCAGCGTAAATGGCCCCTGAATCTGCCCCCACAGGACCACTGACCATCGGCGCCCAGTCCCCTCCCCGGCCGCCTGTGAAGGGAACGCAGTGTCTGTGCAGCACCCTGGTCCTGCCCACCTGTCCCCTTCCCATGGGCTAGTGGGGACAGTGTGGGCCCAAGCTCCCTGGAACCCAATACAGGAGGGACAGACCCCCCCAGCTACTTTCATCATAGCCAGAGGGAGGACCATCCTGTCGGGACCTCTGTCCCCTCCAGAGCCTTCTCAGGGCTTTGTGCCACCAGCCTCCTTGCCCTGCCCGTGCCCTTGGCCCCTGGCAGCACCCTGCCTGCCTCCGGCTGTGAGGCCCCCAATCCCCCACCGCTGGGTCCTGTCCTGATCGCCATGGGCCAGTGCCCAGCAGAGGGCGCTGTGCCAGCCCCAACGGCCTAGCCTGGTTCCTGAGGCAGGGAGGGGCCTCAGGTCCAGTGTCTGGCTCCAGGTCAGGCCGGGCGGCACACCTGTGGCCCTCAGGGGGACGTCATTTTACCCCATTCCTGGCCCAGGGTGGCCTCAGGTATCCCCCCAGCTGCACCGTGCTCTGTGGGCAGTGGGGAGTCAGGGTTGGGAAAGGCCCCAGGCCCTGCCCCTTGCCAGGGGCATCCTCACAGCCAGAGGCTGCAGGGACCTCGTCACTGGTGCCTGGCTGGAGGCTGGGAGATCCGAGGCACCACTGAGCCAGTTTCCCCATCTGCAAACCGGATGGAGCAGAACAGCCGCCCAGACCCTCCATGGTGCGGGCAGCACAACCAGCACCCAGTGGGGGTCTCCCTGAGCACTTGCCCGTGTCCCGCTGTCTCACAGGTCCCTGTTCGCTGCTGGCCGGGGCCTCGGCGCCCTGCTGGGTGGACATCTGCTGCGGGGGCATGTGTGTGGGCAGTCCTGGGTCTGCCCGGGTGGGAGAGGCCCGTGTCACTGCCTGGCCAGAGGCATCTGCCTGCCACGCCTCTGTGTGGGCGGCTTGGGTCATTCCCGTGGCCCCCGCGGCCCCCATGCCCTGGATCCCCCAGGCACGATGAGCTGCATTGGTCCAGAATGCTTTTATCCAAGGGCTTGAGCCACAGGAGGGCCTGGGCAGGAGGTCTGGGCGGGGCGGGCAGGGCAGAGCCGAGCACCCTGGCAGCTGGGCTGCTGTGTGGGATGTTGACGAAGGTTTGGGGGTCATGCCAGCTTGCTCCTGGCTCCCAGCTCTGAAACGTCAGTATTTCCCCAGCTGAGGTCTGCAGCAGCCTGGGGCCCCAACCTTCCGACAGGTCAGCTTCTGCTCTGTGGCCTGGGCTCTGTTCCTCCCCGAGGAGCACCTGCCAGGAGCCTGGGACTGTCCACTGGCCGCCCGGATCCTGGGCAGGCCGCCCAGGGCTCTTGTTCCAGAGGCGCCCTCGGGAGCCTGGCACGGTCCCCTGGCTCTTAGCTCCTCTCAGCCAGGAGCAGACTGCCAGGCCCTGCACCTGGGGCACCAGAGTCAGTGCCCGTGCACCTCAACCAGGACCCCGCAGGCCGCCACGCTGGCCCCACCCCACGGACGGAATGAGACCGGAACCAACGTGAGCACACTCCGGCCCGAGCCCCCGACTGTGAAAGGCCGAGCCGTGGGACCTTCCAGGCCCAGCCCAACCAGAGAAGGGGACTCACTGGGCTCAGCAGTGTTTGGCCTGGGGTCTGAGCACCAGTGTGAGGGCCGATGGCTGGAACAGCAGTGTTTGGCCAAGGGCAGGGAGAACGTGGGGAGACAGCAGGGATGGCAAGTGTCCTGCTGGCCCACCTGCCCCCAGGGCAGACATTGCTAGCCGATCACAGCACTAGGGAGCTCCAGGTGGATGTGGCCTCGGGACCCTCCCGGCCTCGCGTCTGGGTGGCCACTGTCCCTGAGCAGACTTGTGCACCGAGTGAAAGGGGTGTGACATGGGAGACACCCGGTCAGTGTCTGGTGTTGGGCCCTCTGCCCAGGCCGGTGTCTCGTAGGTGTCTCTTCGGGGATCATTGTGGGTGGAGGAAGGGTAGGATCTGTCCGGGTGGGCGGGAGAAGGGGGTCTGCTCGGGCTCCACCCGGAGGGGCTTTCCCTACTGCTGAGCCCCGGAGGGTGAGCCTGGCCCAGAGGAGAGGGGACCTCACTGTCTCACAGGCAGTGGAGATGGTCCGTCCCAGCTCCCTGAGCCTGCCCAGCGGTGGGGCTCAGCCAGGCACTGTGGGAGCCGCCCTCGGGCCTGATGCTGGGCCCGGGATCTCCGCAGCGGGGAGAACTTTCTCACGGTTCGCGCCTCCGTATCCGTGTGGGTGTCACCCTCCAGGTGACAGATGCGGTCTGTCCTGGTGGCTTGTGGGAGGCAAGGGACACCCACTGCACAAGGCCGCCCTCCTGGTGTGGGCTGACCCGGGGGTGCTGGTTGGAGCTGTGTCCGTCAGGCCCCTGCAGGGTTTGCTGAGCCTGTGGAACGGGGTGGGGGGGCGCTCTGGGTGACCCTGCCACGGGAGGGCTCCTGAACCCCAGCGAATCCTATCCTCTGGTTGGCTGGCCACGCTCCCTGCCCCCAGACCTGGCCAGGAGCACTCTGAAATGTCCTCCCAGCCTCAGAGACCCAGGAGGGTGGTCCCTGTCCCTCCACCTTGTGAGAGGTTCTGGTCTGGGTGCTGGTTGGAGGCCCGCGGGTCTCGGACATCAGGGGCTGCCGGGGAGGTGAGGCAGACAACCCGCAGAGGCTGGGGCAGTGACCCCTCTGGAAAGGAGGGCAGGTGTCAGGGTGCTGGCCCCTCCCCCTCCCCCTCCCCTGTTGGGCGGTGTGCTTTGGGTCCTCCCATGTACCCTCCCTTCTCTGGTGGGGGACAGGATGGCCCCCCTCTTCTATTTCCCCTTCGAAGTGACCCTGCCCACCCTCCTGCCCTCTCTGTCCTCAGACCCTGTCTCTCTGCCCTGTCCCCCCGCACCCCTGACCTTCCTGGGCTTGGCAGGGATGAGGGAGCAGCCAGGGACCTGGCCTTTGCTGCCGTGCCCAGCCCGCGAAGGTCGGGGTGCTGGTCCTCGCTCCATTGCTCCCCGTCAGGCACTGAGAACTTCACCTCACACCCTCCACCCTTGTCACTTAGGTCATGGGACTGGGCTGCGTGTCCCAGCCACTTAGCGGTGGGGGGTGGGGGCGTCCAGACGCATCCACTCAGCCTGGGACCTCTCCTAGGGCTCGAGGGGGCTCCGGGACTCGGGATGGGGCTTGGCCGCAGGTACCACCTGTGCACTAGGGTGATCACAGTGGCCCCAACCTCAGCAGGGGTGCCAGTCTGGGAGGGGTGCTGGCCCACGCTGCCCCGAGGCGCTGTAGTTCTAGGGGCTCTGGGCCTGGGTCCCGGGGTGTCCAGCCCCCACCCCGTGTCTGTAGCTGCCCTGCTCCTAAGCCCTCTCCCTGCCCTGGGCCCCCGGTGCCCCGAGCCCTCCCCAGAGATGCCCCATTGTCCTCTGAGATGGCCCTTCAAGGACCTGGTCTCAGACAGCTGCTAGGATCCACAAAGTTCATTTTTTATTTTCTTCCTCAATTCAGAAAGTGGGGTTCTGTTGGGAAAAGAAAGGCCTCTCTGTGGCCAGGCGGGGAGGGCCTCTCCCCTCTCCTGGGTCCCTGCCCCAGCCTTCCCCTCCCCCATCTCTTCTCCCCTCTCCCAGCCCGTCCCCTCCTGGGGCCAGAGGTGGGGCCTCCGCAGATGGAGCCTTTCTGCCAAGGAGAGGCCAGCCCCTCCCTCCGCCCCCAAGGGCGCCCGCAGGAAGGAGCCCACCCACCCCTGGGCCGCCGAATGCCTGCTTCCCCGGGGGCCGGGGGCGGGAGGCCGGACCTCCCGAGGGGTCACGGGGGTCCTCGCCTGGGAAATGGAGTCTGGGAAGGAAGAATTTACAGACTTCTGTTTACCAAAACGAGGCCTTGTAAACGTTTAACAGCAGCCAGTTAAAGGGGGACAGCTGTGGGCTCGTGCTCCCCAGGAATCACAGGGCCCCTGCCCGCCCCTCCCACCGCCCCCGCCCCCGCCCCGGCCACTTTTGTTAAGGCTTCCGGAGCCGAGTTCAAGCTGGGGAACATCTGCTCCAGATGTGTCCACACACCGACCAGTGGGCCAGGCTCTGTGGGCCCGGCCCGCGCCCGGCACTGCCAGGGTGGGACCAGGCGCCGCCCCAGCCCTCAGATGGGCCTGGGCGCCAGCTGGGAACCTCACGCGCGAGGACCCCTCCCGAGCCTCCACGGGGTGTCCCTCGAGCTTGTGGGATCTCGGACCCCTGCCTGGCATCAGGGACTGAATGGTGACCTGTCACTGCCGAAGGGCCTGCCGGGATCGGGGTGCAGGACACCCCACTTGGACTGGCGGATCCCAGAGCGCCTGGTTAGACGTCTGACCATTTCCCACTCGAGTTCTGCCCTGCAGCACGCGGTCCAGGCTGTCCCTACCGCTGAGCTGGGTCCCACAGCCGCCCTGCCGAGGGCCCGGGTCCCTGGTGCTCACCCCGGGCTCCAGGGTGGGCCCCCATGCATGCCCAGCTGCTCCCTGGCACCGAGATGGTGCCTTTGCCATACCGGCCTCCACCCTCATCTAACAGCAGCATCCGTAGGGCCAGCCTCAGGCCACCGGCCATGCCCCGGGCCCTCGGACGCTGTGTGGGCCTGGAGGTCGGTCCTGAGGTTCTGGGCCTGTCCCTTCTGGAGGTGTTTCTCAGATGTGTTCTGTGGTGTGCTCAGCCACGAGGTGTCCTAGAGACACACACTGAAACAGCAGTGTGGCTCACTTTCTTGTCATGGAGGCAGGGCCCTCCCTCCCCCTCCTCCTCCCCCTCCTCCTCCCCCTCCCTCCCTCACCCCCTCCCTCCCTCACCCCTCTCCCTCTCCCAGGACTCAAGCCCCTCCCTCTCCCAGCCCCTGGGCACGGCTCCTGGGGAAGCCCTGGGATTCCTGCCCCCTTGTCACAGCAAAGATGGCCCAGAGGCTAGATAGGAAGCTGTTCCCAGTAGCCAGTACAATCGTGGGGTCTTGGGACAATCATGAGGTCCCCAAGAGAAACTCCTCTAGGGCCTGTTTTCCATGGGCCCTGCCTGCCCCAGCGTAGGTGGTCACTCAGCCACCCCTCTGCCTTCTGGGTCCGGCGTGGAAGGACCAGCAGGGAAGGGCCACATTCCGGGGGACTGGTGGCTCTGGGCAGCCAGCGGACAGGCCACCCCTCCCCATGCCTGGCCTCCCAGACCCAGGTTACGTCTGTGTGTCCTCACCCCTTCTGGGAGGCAGGGTGTGTGTCCCGTGGCTGGAGCCTGCCAAGGCCCAAGGCCAGCAGCTGGGGCTGGGTTCCAGCGTGTGGCTGACACTCCTGAGCAGGGCGGGGCCGGCCAGCTAGACCCTTCAGTGTGACAGAGGGGCCTGCTGGCTCGACTGGAAGGGGCCAGGGAGGGTCTGAGGACTGCGATGCCGCACAGGGAACTCGCGGTGGGTGAGGCCACCCCTGCTGGGGACCAGCTCCCTTTGCAGATCTCAGAGGGCAGAGGAGGCCTGGCCGGTGGAGAGCCCAGTGCCTGGAGCCTCCAGCAAGGTGTGGGCAGCCCAGGTGTGGGCCTCGGACCCCAGCTGCCCGCAACTCAGGGCCGGTCAGACGGTGTGGCCCGAGGCGGTGTTGGCCCCAGGCTCTGGCTGGGAGCGTGGCTGGTGCTGGGAAGGCCGCTGTGCGGGCCTTGTCCCCTGCGTCCCCTCCCCACCTGCGTCCCCTCCCCCCTTCCCCCCTTCCTTCGGCTGCACTGCCCAGAGCCCACGCTGCCGAGTGCCACCGGGAGAGAACTGGGTGCCCTGCGGCACCCTCCCCTCACTCCCAGCCCTCAGCAGTTCAATTTGAGCTGCATGGAGGGACGGTGTCGTGGAGTCAGAGTTAATATGATGTATTGATGGGCTGGTTCCCCACGGGTGTCTGTCGCTCCTGGGCCACCACCGGCTTCTGGTCTCTGGGGTCAGGGCAGAAGTGGGCCGCGGCCTGGAGGTGCCTCTGCAGCTGGCCCCCTTGTTTTTCTAGCTCCAGGGTACCCCAGATTTTCGGGGAGTCTGGCATCCACCTTCCTACCCATGAGCCACTTGGATCACCATGGAAACAGCAACGTTCTCTATGGACAACACCGTTTCTATGGAACCCAAAAAGGCAAGTGCTGGCATGGGGGCTGGGGGTGCTGTGCAGGGCTTGGGGTGCAGGGCATCCTGGAGGGGTGGGCGGGGCTGGCCAGCCCAGTGGACCCACCCCTCTGGGTCTGGAGAGAGGTGGGACGGCTTCTTAGGTCCCTGGAGAATTTAGACTTTAGGTGCCAGGACCCCAGCTTAGCAGCAGGTCTGCCGGGGTCAGGCAAGCAACTGAGACCCAGACGTGCTCCCTGGAGCTCTCGTGCTCAGGTGGAGACCTCTCAAATGACCTCGACCCAAGGGGGTCGTGCGCAGCTCCCTCAGCACCTGGCCTTGCCCTGCACCTACCCCCGGCCGCCAAGGGTCCCAGGGCAGCTCAGGCCAGGGTGCTCAGTGGGGGTGGCGGGGAAGCCTGCAGGTCCCGCCTCACTGGGCAGCATGAGGCCAGGCCTCGCCCCACCCCACCTCGGGGCGCATGTGTTGGGGCACAGCGTTGCCCCCGCAGACAGAGGAGGGGCTCTCACCCTGTTGGCAGGAGGTGTCCCTGGAGGGGGTGCCGAGGTTGGGGTTCTGCTGATGAGAAGTCGAGCCTGTGGGGCTGAGAGGAGGCGGGAGCACTGGGGTGCACGCGTGCACAGAAGCACCTCCGGCGGATCCCGTCTAGGAGCCCACGGGGTGCAGGGGACGTGCCCCTGAATATGGGACAGGTGCAGGGCGTGGCCGGAGGCCGTGGTGCCCTGTCCTGAGTGGATGTTCTCTCATTTGCATTTTAGAGCGCTCTCCCTGGGGTGGTGCCCAGGAGGCAGAGGCTGGGCTGGTTGCTACGTTTTCGGTGGGTGGCCAGTGGTATGGACTTGAACTGGGACACAGGCCTCATGGGGCCTGGAGGGAGTGTGAGGGTGAGGGTGAGGGGTCCTTGACCACCCCCCATGCGTGACCCCAGCTGAGGAGGGGGCACACCTGCAGAGAAACGGGTCAGAGGGGAGGGGTGCCTTCAGCTTCCATGCAGAGGGCCCCGGGGCACTAGGGGACCTGCCCAGAGGTACTCCGGTACCTGGGCCAGCCCAGGGCTGGCCGGCTGGGTTGGTGCCGAGAGGACTCTGCCAGCAGACAGGGCCAGAAAAGCTCCCCACCCCACTCGGAGTGGATAGATGCTGGACACTGCTGCCCAGAGACAGCCCCCCGCAGGTTGCGATCTGGGTCCCCCAAACTCCACACCAGCCCAGCACGTACAGCGGTTTTGACTGTTTGTCAGGGGCGAGCAGGGGGTCCCCTGCCCCGGAAAACCACCTGATGGGCCCGAGCGGCGGACCCTCTGGGCAGCGGGCCCTGGCAGCCCCTGCGTTCACGTGCGGGGTGCAGCCCCACCCAGGAGCACTTCGGTTCTGAAACTGAGCTAATTAGGTTGCGTCCAGGCTGCCCTTGTTTTAATCAGCAGGAAATTAACAAGGAGTTTACAGAACGGAGGACGGTTTCACCAGGGGCTTCTTGCTCCCCCTTGCCTCTCTCTGGAAGCCCCAGGCTGCCTGCCCACAGCCCCGCTGGGCATGGAGGAGGCCAGGCCCCAAGTCCCCAGAGACAGCTTGGGAGGCACTGGGTGTCCCCAGGGCTGGTCGGCGCCCACGTAGGGAGTAAGGCCCTGGCAGGAAGGCTTTGCCCCCGCCGAGGGTCCAGGCTGGACAGTAGGCCATGGCCCAGCGTGGAGAGCCAAGGGTCCACCCGCCACCCACCAGGAGTGAGCCCAGACTGCAGGGACATTGCAAGCTGATGGTGGGCTAGGATAGGGACAGCCGAGTGGGACCGTTTCCCTGTTTCTTGCCTGTAAACAATCACCCCAGCCCCAGCCCGAGAGGCCTCCCGACGCAACGAGGAGGGGCTGGGTCCTTGCAGGGTGTTCGGGAGGTAGGTGAGTGGGGTCTCCGCACCAGGGCCATCCTCAGACACGTGTCTGCCCCGAGCCTCACTTCCTCCGGGGGTTTAGCACTTACAGGGGCCAGGAAGAGGCGGGCCCTTGGCTGTCCCCAGGGCATGGTCCCACCTGCAGCAGGCTCTCCGAACTCTCCCTGTGGCTGGGCATCCTGGCACAGTGCCCTGTGCCGTGGCCACCTCACGCCACGTGCCACGTGCCACGTGCCCTGCCGTTCACTTTGCCATCAAGCTGAGAACCCTCTTAGCTTCAGGGTCTTGATGGCTGTTTGCAAAGACCAGACCGTTTGACACACCCCAGCATCACGGAGGTTTGGGGGAGATGCCTGTCGCCCCAGACCTCACCTGCTCCCACCCCCCCTCCACTAATCCCCATGGGCACTAAGCCGGGCAGGGTTCTGGGTATCTCCTGGGAGGCTGAACATAATTTGGAACCTCCCGGGGGGCTGGGGAGTGAGTGTTTCTGGGGACGGAGCTTTGGTTTGGGAGGAGGGGCCAGTTCTGGAGACAGTGGTGGTGGTGGCCGTGGCGGCCACACGGCCACGTGAATGTGTGGAATGCCCCCGAGCCACGCGTGTGAACACGGGAAAAGCGGTCAGTTGCATGTTGTGTCTGTTCTGTAATGTTAAGGCTTCTTCAGGCAGCAGCCCTGGGTCTCGGCCAGCCGGCAGCGGAAGGGACCTGGGGCCCGTGTCTGGGGCGGGGGTGGGGACTGAGCTCTCCGTCCCTGGCGTCCCGTTGACCTCGGTTCTCTCACACGCAGATAACTTCTACCTGCGCAACCTGCCCCCCCAGCCCACCCTGCTGCCCACCAACCACAACTTCCCCAGCGTGGCCCGGGCCACCCCCACCCACCCCATCGGCTCCTGCAGCCGTGACCGAGGAGAGGCCGCCGCCCTGCAGAAGGGTGCCAAGGAGTTCGACCGCTTTCTCCTGGGCAAAGAGCTGGGCAAGGAGAAGGCCAGCAAGGCGGTGGAGGGCAGGGAGCGGCCGGCCGCGGAGGAGGACGGCAGCAAAGAGCGGCACAAGCTGGTGCTGCCCCTGCCGGCCGAGGGCCCCTGCAAGGAGAGCGTGGTGCCCAGAGGCCCCTGCGAGGGCCGCCCCAAGCACCTGGCCTCCTGCCTTCTCAACACCAAGGTGCTCAACGGCGAGATGGGCAAGGCCGCGCTGGCCAGCTGCGCGGGGGGCGTGCTGGTGCGGCCCGGGATGGCGGCCTCAGGGCGCTGTGCCAAGGAGGCGGCAGGGCCCGTGGAGCCCGGGCAGGCCTTCGGCGAGGGCCTGGAGCGGCGGCAAGTGCTGCACCAGGCCGGGTCCTACACGGTGCCCTCCGGCCTGCCCGCCGGGCCGCCCCCGCCCCTCAGCACGGCCACCGGCTCCTTCCCCTGCCTGCAGCTGCACGCTGGCCCCGACGGGCTCTGCCCACTGCAGGACAAAGTCCCCCGGGACCTGAAGGCCAGCGGGCCCACCTTCGTGCCTTCCGTGGGACACCTGGCCGACAAGAGCCGCCCCTTCCAGGCCGCTGAGGCCTGTGCCGTGGCGAGTGAGGGCAAAGACCGACTCCTGGATGGGGGCTTGGCGCCTGACCATGCCGCGCCCTACGGAGTCTCCTACGCCCACCTGAAGGCTGAGAGCAAGGGCGAGCGGCGGCCTGGGGGCTTCGAGGCACCCCTCAACCCCCGGCTCAAGGGCCTGGAGTATCTCCGCAGCACAGGCCCCGAGGCCCCCTTCCCCGGGCTCCCCACAGGGGGACTGGACAAAAGCAACTACTTCGAGCTGCCCGCCGCCTCCCAGGACTGTGTCCGGCCTGGTCACCAGGACCCTCTGGGCGGGAAGGTCACCCAGGCCTGCTGCACTTTAGACAAGTCGGTCAGCAAGGAGGCCCCCGCGGTGCCCCCCGGAGCCCAGAGGGTGGCCCGGATCCGGCATCAGCAGCACCCGGTTGCCTCCGAGATGGAGCCGGGGGCCAGCGGGGCAGAGGCCAAGCGCAAGTCGCTGGAGCTGGCGTCTCTGGGCTACGGCGGGCCCCAGCTGCCCCCGTGGAGTGTCCAGCCGGGCCAGGGCGCTGCCATGGCCATCGGCGAGGAGCACAAGGGCAGCGCCTACCTGGACCCCTTTGGCGGCAGCCTTCAGCCGGCGGCCCTCCTGCCCCAGGACCTGCCGGCCCCGCCGGATGAGGTCTCGGCCATGAAGAGCCTGCTCAAGTACAGCAACCAGGCACTGGTCGTCGGCCAGAAGGCGCCCTTCGTGGGCCTCGGCGGCCTCAAGGCCAGCTGCGCCCAGCAGGACGTGAAGTTCCCCGCCACCAAGGGCCCGGGCCAGACCCCCGGCGAGGTGGAGAGGCCGGACTGTGCCCGAAGCCGGGAGCACGAGGCTCCGCACGGCGATGGAGAGGTGCGGCAGCCACCCGTGGGCATCGCCGTGGCCTTGGCCCGGCAGAAGGACACAGTGAGCCGGCCAGAGACTACCTACGGTGCCAACACCGGGCGGCAGGGCCGGGCTGCTCCCGCCTTCAAAGGTATGGCCCCGTCCCAAGGAGAGAGGCTCAGGGCATGTTGCAGACCTGCCCCTGTCTGCCCTCCCAGAGACCCTGGGCTCCCACATCCGGGGTCTTGATGGGCTCACCCCTTACCTACCCCATGAGCCGAGGCTCCCTACCCTCACCCTCACAGACCCTGAAGGTCCCCAGTTCCTGGTCAGACCCCTAGCCCAGCCTCCCCAACCTTCGTCCCTTCTGCTGTCCGCCCCATGCAGCTGGTGGTGGGCCCCGCTCCGCCCATGCGCTGGACCTGGAGGCCGAAGAGGAGAGGCCGCGGCTGTGTGAGGACCGCCTGGGGCTGGCCAGCCGGGAGCTGCTGCTGCCGTAAGAACCAGGCCGTGGCCTTCGGTGGGGCCCAGGCCACACGTCTGGGCTAGAGTGGCCGGGTGTCAGGTCTGGGGTGCCCACTCTCGGCCTTGCTGGGGAGTCTGCCCGTGTCGTAAGGGGGCTCTGCTGACTCCCCCTCTGCCGATGGGGCCACGGCTGGGACGGAAGCGTCTGATGCCGAGCCCGGGCTCTCGCCAAGACCCCTCTCTGCGAGGTGTCCGGCCATGGGCTTGGGTGGGGAGCAGGCTGCGTGGCTGCAGCTGCACTGAGCCCGCCCACCTCGTGATGTGCAGGGACAACAAGGACCTCGTGGAGTTCACCCGGATCCACCCGTCCAGCGGCTGCCCCAGAGACTTGGCCCCTCACCTCATGATCGCTGGCGGCTCCTCCCTGCAGAGCGGCCAGCTGGGCGGGGACCCGGCCCCCCACCCCCACCCCGCCCACCCCCCCTGGCTGCCCCGCACCCGCAGCCCCTCCTTATGGATGGGGGGACATTCCTACGGTCAGTGTGCCGGGGGCACGGGTTGGGTGGGCAGCGTGGCCCCTGGCCGGAACTCCGGTCCCTGCTGCCCGCCCTGCACAGCCTAACCACTGCGCCCTGTCTCCCCAGGCCTTGGGCACCCCGCCCTGCACCAGAACCTGCCCCCTGGCTTCCCTGCCTCTGTGCCCGGCTCCATGCCCTCGGTCTTCCCCCTGTCCCAGGATGCCCCCGCACAGCTAGTCATCCTGCCCTCGGAACCCACACCCCACACTGCCCCCCACGCGCTTGGTAAGGGCACCCTGGGCCGGGCGGTGTGCATGTGGGGTGTGGGAAGCAGCCCCGAGGGAGGGAGCCATCCTGGAGATGGGGCTGTGCGGGGAGGCAGGCCCCTGACCGGGCGGGAGGCAGGTGTGAGGTGGGTGAGCTGGAGGTGAGGCGTGGGAAAGACCAGCCAGGTGGCGGGGACACAGCCCGCACCCGTCCCTGCCCGCTGATGGCCCCCTGCCCCTGCCCACAGCGGACGTCATGGAGCAGGCTTCGCTGTGGCCGCCCATGTACGGGGGCCGGGGCCCCACCTCTCACATGCAGCACCCGGGCCAGCTCCCCATGTACTCGCGGTCCCAGTTCCTGCGGCAGCAGGAACTCTACGCCCTGCAGCACCAGCCTCAGCACCAGCCGCAGCCGCAGCCGCCGCCGCAGCCCCGGGCCACCCAGTTCCAGGTACCACCCCGAGGCCCCGTGATCCAGGGTGTGCTCCCTGCCTGCCTCGACCCGCCCGGCCCAGGAGTCCCCAGAGCACCCTCCCCCACCCTGATGCCCTGAGCAGGGCCGCTGGGCTGAGCCTCTCCCCACCCGACAGCGGAAGCCGGAGGACCGTCACCTGGAGCTGGAGGAGCCCGCCCAGGAGAAGGCCCTGAAGTCCACCCACAAGCCAGTTGCCTTAACCCCTACGGCCAAGGGCACCCCCTCACCTGCCAACACAGGCCCCACCAAGCTGTCGACCTGCTGCCACTCCCCCACCCCAAAGCCCCCCGCCAGCTGCCCCACGCCGCCGCCCCATCCCGGCGCCCCCTGCACTTTATCCATCCGCCCCACCGGCAGCCCCAGGCCTGGCTCCCAGCTGCCCAGCACCGAGGACAGGAGTGGGGAGGGCCGGCGGGCCGGAGTCAACCTCAGCACGTTGGAATCAGGTGAGACTGCCCCCCCTCTGCTCCGAGGCCTGTCCCCCCTCCTGGGTGGGCAGAGCTGAATCAGGGTGCTGCTTGGTCTTGCAATGTAGGGGTGCCCTCCCCTAGCCAAGCCCCTGGTAGGGCCTGGGGCAGTGTCGCCTACCCCTGCTCTCTCTCTTCGTCCCCCTCCACCATCTTGGGTGACCCTGGAAGGAGGCCCCGGGCAGGAAGGGCAGGAGCAGGGTGAGGCCCAGCCGGCCAGCAGGAACAAAGGCCCGCCTGCCGGGACCCTGGCGGCCACAGGCCCTGTCCGCAGCCTCGAAGCTGGGCCGGGAGCTCGGCCGCAGCGGTGGGTTGGCGGCGGAGATGCCACCCGCCTGGCCTGCCGGGAGGTTCACGCCCAGCCCCTGGCAGCGCCCCACCGCGGCCTCATTCTCTCTGAACCGGCTGCGAGTTCTCGCTGGGACGCGTGGGGCGAACGTAAACACCGTCTCAATTCCGCCACAAGGAGACTGAGCCAACGGAGGTTGTCATTTTTTTAGGCCTTCTTCCCCTTTTTTTTTTATTTTATTGTAGTTAATGGGGCGTAAGCCTCGGCCAGGCTGCCGGCGTGTTCTGGTTCAGGGGAAGGAGCCCTGATTCAACTCTCTTGTGTTAAAACTCCCCCCTTTTTCTGGTTAGCCACACACCACATTGTGCCAGAGATGGCCCCCAGGGGACCCCCTGGGTCCCCAAGGGTACAGCAGGAGCTGGGGGCTCCCAGCTGTCCTGGCCCTCCCCTGCTGCCCCCAACTTAACGGGTCCCCGTTTCTATCTAACCTGTTCTGCAGGCAGAGGGCTGGCTGGGGACCCCCATCTCAGGTGTGGGTCTGAGGGGTTTGTGGCCACCCTTGCCCCCGCTGCTCTCTCCTGACGACACCCCGCTTTTGCAGACCTGCCCCCTGGACACATGTGCCCCGTGGCCAGCTTGGGCTTCTCCCTGCCTCCCGACGTGCACTCCTCTGACCTCTCGGACCCCAAAACTATGCAATGCCCTGCCCCCCGGGCCCAGCCAGAGCCTGTGAGGACACCTGCCTCCAGGGAGCCGTCCTGCCGGAGCCCCCAGAGCCTGGAGGAGCCTGGGCTGCCCTCGGGGGCCAGGGAGGCCTCCCAGGACCTTGCTGCCCTCCTCCACCCTGCCGAGCGGGGCCCACCAGGAAAGGCAGTGGACCCCAGCCCGCTGGAGGGGCTGCAGGAACTGCGATGCAGGGTCCTCCTCCAGGGAGGGGTCCCCGAAGCCACTGACGGGGCTGGTTCTACTCAGGGAGGGGCCCGGGGGGAGAGGACCACAGGGGAGGGGAGAGAGGAGAGGGAGCCAGGGCCCTCCTCCGGGGCCAGTCCCCAGGCCCTGAAGCAACAGGCAGGGAGCCCCCAAGCCCTGGACCAGGGCGAGCGGGGTGCATGGCAGGACCCTGGGGAGGCAGGGCCGGAGGAGGGGGCCGCATTTGAGGAGGACAAACTGGAGGAAGAAGAGGAAGAGGAGGACTGTGGGTCAACCCCCGACAACAGCCACCTGCCCAGGGTGCCGCTGGGCCTGGATGCCCTGGTGGCAGCCACCATCGACCTAGGGGACTTGCCTGCCCTTGGCCTGCCGGGCCCTCAGCCCCCTGCCGTCCCCGTGCCGCCCGGCACAGCCCCCTCGCCCCCTTGCTCAGGGATCCATGGCATCGCCCTGCTCAGCGAGCTGGCCGACCTGGACGTCCGGCCTCAGAGGAGCGAGCCCGCCCTGCCAGGTGAGTGCCAGTGGCCGCCCCGCCCTGCACCCGGGAGCTGGGCCTCCAGGCCTGGGCTCGGGCAGCTGGCCAGACAGCAGGCCCCACGGTCGCCCTCCGCCGCTGGAAGCCAGAGGCAGGTGTGCCCATCCCGTATCACCCCACCCTGGCTGCCGAGGGGTCCACAAGAGCAGGGTCTCCGATGGCGGCGGCACAGGAAGGGCCCCCAGATAGCACCCAGTTGCTGTGGATGTTCGTGACACCCCGAAGGGCGCTCGAGTGTATCCCCATTTCACACGCGGGGATGCCAAGGCCCATGGGGCGGTGCGGGGCGAGGTAGCTGGACCGAGGTGTCACCTCCGGGAAAGGGGAGAGAGCTGTGTCTCCTGCAGGCCTCCCACCCAACCCCACCGCCCAGGGCTCGCTCCCTGGGCCTGCCTGGCTTGAGCTCAGGCTGGGGCCTTGCCTCCTGGCTGGGGGCTGGGACGGTGCGGCCTGCCCAGAGCTGCCCTGCCATGAGGTGCTGCGGGGTTCCCCTCCCCCAAGGCCCCAGGGTGCAGGTGGGGACAGGTGCTGCGCTGCAGAGAGGCAGGGCCTGAGGGGACCCCAGATGGTCCTCCTGCTGCCCAGGTGCTGCTCTGAGGGAAGCCCCTCCCTGCCCTGCCGAGGGGGAGAGGGGGAGCCGGCCAGGTGTGGGCTGCCCTGCTGTTTATAGAAAGAGCCCCACCAAGTCCTTGGCTCCAGGGCCATTTCCAGCCTTCGGTGCTGCGTAGGTACCCGAATGTTCCATCAAGTTCATCTCCCCAAAGGCCACTGTGTCGCTCCTGTGTCCCCTGCTGGGTGGGTCCCCGGAGGGCTTAGCTTCGGCCTGAGCTATAGGGTGAGGCAGGGTACCCTGGGCACGCATGGCTCAGGTCCTGGACCGTCACCACCATTGGCGTCTGTGGAGCCCTGTGCCTCTGCAGGGAAGGGTTGGAGACCCCCAAGCTTGGGGTGTGGCTGTCCCTGTTTCTCCCACAGCCCCCCGAGATTACAGAGCCCTGCAGGGTGGTGTTTGGATCCCAAAGAAGACCCCCTCCCCCAGGTTCACCCAGGGAACTATGGGGTGTCAGCAGGCTTCACCTGAGGAGTGGGGGTGCTTGGGGAGGACTGAGGGAGGGGAGGGGAGGAGCAGAGGGGCTTCCTGGTTGTGACAGTGACCCCAAGAGAAAGGGAGCCCCTGTGGATCCTTTAGCCGAGATGGGGCTCAGAGGGCCCCGCCCAGGCTGCTGGAGGAGCCTGGCCCAGAGCTGAGCCCTCTGAGCCCCCCACCCCCAGGGCGCCTTGGCCAGAGCTGATGCGCCTCTGGCTCAGCTCCATCGTTTATGACGCCAGCTTGGTGGTGGCCGGGCAGTCTCCTGGGAGGTGGTTTGAGGTGTGAGGCCCCGTCCCCTGCAGACATTTCATCCACCCACTTGTTTACTCATGTCAGCGCCACTCGGGCTCCTGTCCTCAGTCAGTGATAGTCTTCTCTGCCACTATGTCGCCTCACGGTCAAACTGGCTCCGACGGGGCCCCGTGACCGGCCCCTGTGTGCCCACGTCGTCCTCAGCACCCCGTGTCCCCCACGGCGCCCCTTTCCGCTGCAGCTGCTCCTGGGGCCGCCCCCACCCCGCTGCTGCCCCTCGGTGGCTGCACGCATGTCCTGAGTCCCCCTCCATGCCTCTCCTGAGTGGCGCTGGCTTAGCTCTGCCCCTGTGCTAGGCCACCCACTAGGGCTGTGACACCCCAGGTTTTCACAATCCTGGGAGCGGGTGAGAACGCACAGGCAGCTCCTGTTAGACGTGTGACCGGCTGGTGCCTTTCCTAAAGGGTCTGGGCCCACCCGAGGGCTTGGGCCATCCCAGCTGGCCCGCCCCGCAGTAGCCAAGGGCAGGGGGCTGGCTGCGCACCCTGCTGCTCCCCGCCACCTCACCTCGTCCTTGAGCCTGGCAGCCTTGGGGGTTCTGGGCCGTGCTGAGAAGCAGGCTGCAATCCAGAGCCTCTCTGAGGGGTCGTGTGCCCACCGCCCATGCACACATGAGCACCTTTTGTCCCCCGTAGAAGAGGAGGACGTGCTGACCTTCAACCTGCAGCGCCTGGCCACGCTGGCCTCAGCCTGGTCCCTGGTGGAGGCCGCTGGCCTGGACAGCCCTGCCTCCGCCCCACCCCCTGCTGCTGACCCCTGCAGGGCTCCCATGCCCACCCCTCGGATGCAGATCCTCCAGCGCAAGGACACCTGGACCCCTAAGACCAAGCCTGTGAGTGGGGGCCCTGTCCACCCCACCGCCCACTGCCGTGAGCCACGGGAACCTCTGAGCATGCAGCCGGGCCGCCCAGCTGCCCATCGTGGGCCCTCGAGGCTCACAGCCCTGTGCCCCTGCCCACCAGGTGTGCCCACTGAAGGCTGCTATCGACCGGCTGGACACGCAGGAGGTGGGGCTGCGGGTGCAGCTGGCGGAGCTGCAGAGGCGGTACAAGGAGAAGCAGCGGGAGCTGGCCCGCCTGCAGCGCAGGCATGACCACGAGTATGAGCCCGGCCGGCGGGCTGGGCGGGCTGGGCGGGCTGGCCGTGGAGGGCGTGGACTCGTGCAGCCCAGCCCAGGGCCACCGCTGTGGGCAGGGGTCGGCCCAGGTGTGCCGAGCTGAGCCGGAAGCTGGGGTCCGGGAGGGTTTCAGGGCACAGGTGGGAGGGAGCTTCCTAGAGGCAGTTGTAGCTGCGGTGGCCCGAGGCAAGTCTTAGGAGGACCTGCCCGTCCCCCGCTGGACCCCGTCGGGGTGCCCGCACGGGTATGAGCCTCTGACCACCCCTCCCGTGGCCGTCAGGAGAGAGGACAGCTCGCGGAGCCCAGCGAGGCGGGGGCCTGGCCGGCCGAGGAAGCGCAAATACTCCAGCTTGCTGCCCGTCCTGCGGCCTGGGGGCCAGCTTCCCAGGGCCGACGTTAAGAAAGTCAAGTGAGTGCTGGGTGTGCGGGGCACCACGGGGCACTCAGGCTGGTGGGCACATGGCAGAGTCTGGGCTCTCTGGGTCCCAGGGTGGCTGGTCCCCCTCTCTAGCTCCTGCACACCCAGACTTCCCTCCCAGAACCCTGGGCAACGGGGTGTGTCCAGCGGGCAGAGCCCAGCAGCCCCCTCCTCTGCCCACCGCCAGCCCTCGGCCCACCCCGGGCTCCTTGCCTCCAGGAGCCTCCGTGGCCGGGAGTGCGACCGCACCAGCTCCGCACACCTGGCCGGGGCATCCCCCCCACTGGCGCCCCTGCCCAGCCGCCCCGAGTGGGAGGCGGCCTTGCGTAAAAGCCTCTTTATCTGCACTGTATACAGTCGTTGGTCACGCTGCGGTGCCCCGCGCGGCTGCCGCACGATGTTATTATCCATTACCCGCCGACGCAGGCCCGCTGCACTCCCCGGCCTGGTATAATTGTCCTTCTCCGCTACAAATTGCCTCTCCCGGCAGGCCCATTTGCATAAATCCTCCGCGCTCCTCCAAACAGGATTGGCGCAGGCGTGCGGTACTGCATCAATCCTGATGATTTGGTAATAATAGTTAAATCGGCACTAAATGGTTCCTTCAATTAAGACAGAGGCAAAAAATTAATCTCAGGGCTTTATGTCACAAAACATTAGCAAATGCAGAGAAGGTTAGAGGGAGGGGGAGTTCACGCAGGCTGCCGGCGGTACAGTGGAGGAGCCATATGGCTGGGGGGCCTCCCGGAGCTGCCCCCCACCCCCGCCCTCCGCAGGTGTCACCCAGCAGGGGGCTCCAGGGGCCTCCCTTTGAGAACCAGCCAGTGCTGTGGGGGCTGCTGGCCGGGAGCCCTGCGGGGGGCGCCCTGGCGAGGCTGCCCCCCCACGCTCAAGCCTGGCACCGAGCCCCGCCCTGGCACCCCTTACTGGGACTTGCATTCTGGCCCTTCTCCCCTGACCCAAGAAGCCAGGCCTGGCTGGAGGGCAGTGGCCTCAGGACAGGGAAGGAAACTAAGTCCGGGGCTCTCCCTTCTCAAGAATTGGGGCTCCCTCCTGCCCACTTTCCATCCCACTCTGGAGCCCTGCTCTGGTAGCTGCAGGCACTTGGGCCCAGGCAGGAAGTGGGAGGCTGGGGTCCCGGGCCAAGCGGGCCACAGGCCAGCTTCCTATCTGGCCGACTCTCTGGGCGGGAAGGTCTGGCCACACGAGGCCAGGGCCCCACCAGGACCCTCAGCCTCCACCTGTGATTCACACCAGTTACCACCATGGGGTGGGGGAGGGGACAGGTGAATGGCCCAGCCCCAGCCCCCATGTGGCAAAGGACGGGGAGCCAAGCTCCCAGCTCCACACTTGGGTTCGGGGAAACCGAGGCTTGGCGTCAGCAGGGTCCCTTCCCTCAAGGCCCAGAACTGAGGGCAGAGGATGAAGCTCTCGGGTGTCCGAGCCCAGCAGTGGGGGGCGCGGGCTGGGAGGCAGAGCCTGGGCATGAGTTTCTCTGGCTTCTGCCCCCCGTCCTGCAGCAGCAGAGATGTGGGGAGTGGGCCCCGTTCTCAGGACCCTCGGCCAGCGCCTCTGGTCCTAGCAGCTGGACTTCACACTCACCACAGGCTCAGTCTGACCGGGAGGCACAATTGTCATGGTCTCCACTTCCCAGGTGGAGAGACCGAGGCCACAGCCCATTCACGCAGCGGCCCGGCTGGCCACAGAGCCGTGGCTTCCGAGCGCCGGGCTGCCCCGCCCTAGTCAGTGGGCAGAGGGGACTGGTGGGGAGGCAGGCGTGGGGGGTCAGCACAGGCTCAGCCCTGGCCCCCCACAGCTGTGTGTGCCCTAAAGAGCTTGGGCCATGGGAGAAGAGGGACAAGAGGGCTTCCCAGGACGTGGGGCTGCCCTGTGGGACCCACGCGCCCTGGCTGCCACCCCCGGGACTGTGCGGGGCCCGAGGCCCAGGGGGCCAGCTGTGCCTGCACCTGGCCTGAGCCCACCTGCTCCCCCACACCCCCAGGGCAGTGCCGTCCAGCCTGAGCCTGCTGTGTGCCGAGCTGCAGGGCGGCGAGGAGCCCACGAAGAAGCAGAGCCGACTGGAAAAGGGCGTCTACGTGGGCCTGCAGCCCGGCTCTGCGGTGAGTCCCGTCCTCGCCTCACCTCGGCTCGGGGTTCGGGGTGCCAGGCGGCAGGCAGCAGGGGACAGACTGAGTCCCAGCGCCGAGAGGAGCACACCCAGGCCCGGCCAGTGTCAGGTCCCTCACCACGGAGGCGCGCCCTGGCCTGCCGGTGACTCAGACAGTGACGCTCGTGACACCTGCAGCTCCCTCCACAGCAGAGGAAGCCAGGGCAGCTGGGTGCAGACTTTCCTGCAGGAGGGAGAGCCCAGGGGGCCGCAGCGTCAGGTGCATGCACCTGGTGGGGGCGGGTGAGGGCAGCAGCCGTCCTTCTGGGGGCCCTCCGCCCCTCCCCTATTCCAGGTCCTGGGGCGCACAGGCCAGAGGCGCTTCTGAGCTGTCGCGCTTTGCACCACCTCCCAGAGCAGGAGGCTGGTTCCTCTGCCCGGGACACACTCCTGGGCCCTTGGCCTCCCTCCCCTCGGCCTAAGGGGGGGACAGCTGGTGGGGGGGGGATGGGGGATGGGCAGGCCTGCGCCCTGGGCCAGATGCCCTCTTGGCCCCTAGGAGAGCAGGGCCAGGGCGTGCCACCCCTGAGCCAGGCAGGTGGCCGCGGCCCGGGTGGGGCAGCGAGTGGAGCTGCCGCCTGCCGTTCTCAGGAGCAGAGCCGCGGTCAGGGAGAGCTGGTGTCCGCGGCGGCCCACAGAGTCACCCCGCTGAAGCCAAAGGTGAAGAGCAAGGGGCTGCCCGCTGGCCTCGGCCCGTTCCCGGGGGGGCGTGTGCGGAAGAAGCTTTCCCGAGCCAAGAGCACGAAGGTGTCAGGGGCGGCCAGACACCCGCAGCCGGATGCCCGTGACGGCGAGCGGGAGATGCCCAAGTTCCCGGCCCAGCCGGCAGGGGCCGCAGCACACGAGGCAGGCAAGTCGCTGATCTGATCACCAGCATCTCCGGGCTCCAGTGGGGGGGGGGGTGGCACAGCCTCCCGCTGCCAGGAGACCCTCCCCAGGGCGCAGCCAGCAGCTCCCAGCGCCCCACCCCCACATGGAGGGCCAAGGGGAGGAAGAGGTGCCTGTCCCATGCATCCTGCAAAGGAGCTAAAAATAGCCCTGGTAGGCTCCAGCCTGCCTCCCTGCCATGTCCGGCCAGGCTGACCTGGAGAGGTTATCTGGCCCCCAGCAAACACATCCAGAAACAGAAGCCTGGAAAAACAGACACTTCCTTCCCACAGCCGGCCACCCCCAGGCCTAGACTCAGCAAGAACAAAGGCAGAGGAAGCAGGAAGCCAGGGCGACCTGCAGGGGCGGCCCCAAGGGGAGGGCTGGTCTGGGGCGGGGACTCCCCCACCTGTGTCCCGCTGCTCGAAGCCGCAGACAGGTTGCCGGAGGCCAGGGAAGAGAGGTCAGAGAGGCATCACCCTGCCCATCCCTGTCCAGACACCCTCACCTGGACACCTGGCCAGGTGCCCCCTCCCAGAGCGACTTCAGGGATGACTGTGATGGAGCTCCACTCACAGCCCCCCACTACATCCACACACGTGACACTACCCCAAAATGGTGCCGCTGTGACGCCCATCGTCTGGACCCCTGCCTCCCCCCAGGCAGCGGCTATGACAGCGAGAACTGTGAAGGTCTCTTGGGGGCAGAAGCACCTCCCAAGGAGCCCAGGCTGGCGCTGCACGCGGGGGCCAGCGGGGCCGCGCTGGGGCCCTCGCCCTCCTCCGTGGTCAAGATGGAGGCCAACCAGAAGGCCAAGAAGAAGAAGGAGCGGCAGGGCTTGCTAGGTAGCTGGCGGCGCGGGCGGGCCGGGGCGCCTGGCGGTCGGGGCCCCAGCTGCTGGGACCCCTGCAGCAGCCCCCTCCCTCCCACAGGGGCCTGCCGCCTGTCCAGCCCGGAGAGCGAGGTCAAGATCAAGAGGCGGACGGTGAAGGCCAAGGTAGGCACCGCGCTGGAGCGGGCCCCAGGGCGCAGGCCCCCGGGAGCGCCCGGCAAGAAGAGAGCCAAGGGCAAGGCCAAAGGCGGCCTGCGAGCCCAGCCCGGGGCCGCGCCCACCAGGGACGCCCTCTTCAGCCCTGCCCGGGCCTTCGCCTGCCGGGAGGAGGGCAGCCAGCTGGCCAGCGAGCGTCTCAAGAGGGCCACACGCAAGAGCACGATGCTCCAGCCGGGACTGCGGGTGAGCACCGGCGGCTCCCCGGGGCGCGTATCCCGGGTCCTGGGCCAGTGGGGCGGGGCTGGGGGGAAAGGCCTCCAGGGCCCCCGCTCTGTCTGCCAACTGTACCCTGCGCCCAGGTCAGCCTGAGTCACACCCCGGGCGGGCTGTGGGCGAGGACGCTGCTGCCACCTCACCACAGTCCCTCCCCACCACCCGACAGCGCAAGAACGGGGCCCTGTCCATCGCCCTGTCGCCCCGAAATGCCAAGGCCATCCTGGGGAAGGGCAGGAAGGCAGGCAGGATGACGAGCAAAGCGGTCGGCAAGCAGGTAGCACCCCCCGCCTGTCCCCGGTGCCCCACCTGTCCCCCGCCTCTCCGGCCTGCCCTCGCCAGGGGCTGACCTCTCTGCCCCCCAGGGCAAGGGCCGGGCGGTGAGCCGGCTGCTGGAGAGTTTTGCTGTGGAGGGCGACTTCGAGTTTGACGACAGCAGCAGCTTCTCAGAGGACGAGGACGAGGACGAGGAGGACGAGGCGGCCAGCGGTCCCCTGAGCGCGGAGCAGAGCGCCGCCCTGGGTGAGCGGCGGGGAGGAGGTTGTGAGTGTCTGGGGGCGACGGCGGGCAGCTGGGGGCCCGGCCCTGACACCCCTGTCCCCCAGCGCGCTCATGCACCATCCACAAGGAGGACCTGCAGGACGGGCTGCCCGTGCTCATCCCCAAGGAGGACAGTCTGCTGTACGCGGGCAGCGTCAGGACCCTGCAGCCCCCGGACATGTGAGGCCGGGACGTGGGCAGGGAGGGACCCGCCGTGGCCGGGGTGGTGGCCATGGACACGCAGGCCCGGCTCATGCCACCCCTCCCCCCAGCTACAGCATCGTCGTCGAGGGCGAGAGGGGAAACCGGCAGAGAATCTACTCCTTGGAGCAGCTGCTGCAGGAGGCGGTGAGGGACGCCCGCTCGGCCCTCCCGGGGTGGCCCCCCTGCACCCCCCGAGCACCCCGAAGCCCACCCAGCCGCTCACTCCTGGCCCTGGCTGCACCTGCAGGTTCTCGATGTCCGGCCGCAGTCTAGCCGGTACCTCCCGCCGGGCACAAGGGTTTGCGCCTACTGGAGCCAGAAGTCCCGCTGTCTGTACCCAGGCAGTGTGGTCCGAGGTGAGCACAGCCGGGCCCCCACGAGGCTGGCCAGCCCCTCTCCTCAGGCAGAGCTGCAGGCAGGGCCCCCCCAGAGTGCTGGGGAGGGGGCCCTTCTTCCCAGGCCCACATGGGCGCAGAGTGAGCAGTAGGACCAGCTCCCTGGTCAGTAGGAAAAGGCAATGGGGTGCTTGGGGGTCGGTGGGGGACTCCGGCTCTCCAAAGGACGACAGAGGGGAGCCAGAGGTCAGGTCCCAGAGGTCAAGAATGGCTCACTAGGGCACAGTCTCCCTGGGGTGAACCCTGACCCCCACTCAGGTAGGGAACGTAGGGCCCTAGGGTCCGACAGGTGGACAGGAGGTGGACGGGTGCAGGCAGGTGGGCCAGCCGGACGTGTGTTGCACGCGTGCATGGGGAGTCGGCCCCAGCATGGGGTGAGGCGGGGAGCCAGCGCTGCCACTCAGCCACGCTGCCGGGGTGGGGTGCTGGCGGCTGTCCCAGCAGCGCCAAGGTCGAATGCCACCAAGGAGCAGAATGGCCCCAGTGTCATTTGTCAGGTGCCTGGGAGCCCTCCTGCCCCCTCCCAGCCACCAGGGAGCGCCCCGGGGCCTGAGCCCAGGGCTGTGTGCTCAGTGGGCCTCATCCCCAGGCAACTCCAGCGACGAGGAGGAGGACCTGGACTCCGTGGTGGTGGAGTTTGATGACGGGGACACCGGTCACATCGCCGTCTCCAACATCAGGCTGCTGCCTCCGGACTTCAAGATCCAGTGTGAGCCGGGGGCCCTGCCTGCCTGGGTCAGCCCCATGGCTGGAGCGGGCGGAGCGTCCTCCGGGTCCAGCAGGTCCCCAAGGCACGGGCGCGGGGAGGCGGGCGCCCCAGCGGCACAGCCCTGAGTCCACGCGTCTGCCCTGCAGGCACAGAGCCCTCGCCGGCCCTGCTGGTGTCCAGTGGCTGCCGGAGGAACAAGAAAGCTTCCTGCGAGGCCCCCCCGCCCAGCGAGCCCCCCGCTCCCAGCCTGTCCCCCAAGGTGCACGACAGCCCCGAAGCCTCAAAGACCCCTGGGAAGAAATCCATCAGCAAAGACAAAGCTGGTACTCGGGGACGGCCGAGAGAACCCGGGTGGGGAGGCTCCCCAGGGGTGTGGGGACCTGGTGGTACCTCTGACTCTCCCTGGCGCCCCCCCCAGGCAAAGCGGAGCTCCTAACCTCAGGTGCCAAGCCCCCCGCGGGGGCCTCGGACCACTTCCTGGGCCGCCGGGGCAGCCCGCTGCTGAGCTGGTCGGCGGTGGCGCAGACCAAGCGGAAGGTGGCGGCGGCGACGGCGGGAGGCAAGGGGCCGGGCCTGCTGCAGAACCTCTTCCAGATCAACGGCAGCGCCAAGAAGCTGCGGGCCCGCGAGGCGCTGTTCCCGGTGCACAGCGTGGCCGCGCCCGTGTTCGGCAACGGCTTCCGGGCCGACTCCTTCAGCAGCCTGGCCAGCTCCTATGCGCCCTTCGTCGGTGGGGCCGGGCCCGGCCTGCCCGGGGGCGCCCACAAGCTGCTGCGGGCCAAGAAGGCCGAGCGGGCCGAGGCGGAGAAGGGCGGCCGGCGGCGGGCCGGCGGCGAGTTCCTCGTCAAGCTGGACCACGAGGGCGTGACCTCCCCCAAGAACAAGAACTGCAAAGCGTTGCTCATGGGTGACAAGGACCTGGGCCCCAAGCTGGGGCGCCCGCTGCCCAGCCCCAGCTACGCACACCCAGCCCTCGTGGGCAAGGACAGGAAGGGACGGGCGCCCATCCACCCGCTGCCCATGGGGCTGGCGCTGCGAAAGTTTGCGGGCCAGGTCGAGTACCCACCGCCCTGTGGCAGCGACTGCCACAGCTCCTACTCGGACGAGGACGAGGACGGGCCGGGGCTGGCCCCCGGCGCGCCCTCCCGCTTCCTCGCCCGCCTGTCCGTGTCCTCCTCCTCCTCCGGCTCGTCCTCCTCCTCCTCCTCGGGCTCCCTGTCCACCTCCAGCCTCTGCTCCTCCGAGGACGAGGGCTCCTCCTACAGCTCGGACGACGAGGCCCAGGCCCTGCTGCTGCAGAGCTGCCTGCCCCCCCCTGTGCCCGCCCTCCTGGCCCAGCCCGAGGCCCTGCGCTCCAAGGGGGGCGGCCCCCACGCGCACGCCCAGCGCTGCTTCCTGTCCAGGGCCCCCGCGGCGGGTGGGGGCGCAGGTGCGGGCCCCAGCGGCGGCAAAGCCAAGCTCAAGCGCAAGGAGGCCCTGAGCTTCTCCAAAGCCAAAGAGGGAGCGCGGAGGCAGCGGCTGCCGTCCGTGGAAAACCGGCCAAAGATCTCAGCCTTTCTGCCCGCGCGGCAGCTCTGGAGGTGGTCAGGGAGCCCCACGCAGGTAGGCGGGCCCCTGGCCGCTCTGCCCCGTGCTCCTGCTCCTCAGCCCCCCTTCTCTCCTTGCTGAATTACTCCATTTCAACTGAAAATTGGGGAACTCGAGGGAAGAACAAACGCCCACCATGGTCCATCGGGGGCACCGCCCACCATGGTCGTTTGCCCCCACCCCCCCTTTGCCTGTACAACCGCGGCAGTGACCACGGCCGACACGCTGTATTTGGTGCACGGGTTGCCCTGAGCACCCCCCACGCCACAGAACCACACGCCAGCCTGGGCAGGGCTGCGGGAGCGTCCGCCTCCCTGATCCGAAGTGAACATCTCACAGGTTCGGGCCCCCTGCCCTCAGCCGGTGACCCTCGGGTCCTGACGTCCTAACCGTGCTCAGGGCCAACCCCGTCCTGACCTGCAGCCCCAACAGCAGGGCTGCCCCGCTGTGCCCATGCGGGTGCCACGCCCACACCCTGGCACACGAGCACGCCGTCTGCCCCCCAAATCCCCTCCTCTGTGTCTGCCCCGCCCGCCCAAGGCCTGCCCTCACCGCAGCCCTGACTGTCCCCGCAGAGGCGCGGCGTGAAGGGCAGAGCCCGGAAACTGTTCTACAAGGCCATCGTGCGGGGCAAGGAGACACTGCGCGTCGGGGACTGCGCCGTGTTCCTATCGGCCGGCCGGCCCAACCTGCCCTACATCGGCCGCATCGAGAGCCTGTGGGAGTCCTGGGGCAGCAACATGGTGGTGAAGGTCAAGTGGTTCTACCACCCCGAGGAGACCAAGCTGGGCGAGCGGCACAGCGATGGGAAGGTGGGGCCCGGGGGGGGGCTCGGGGGTGTGGGATGCAGTCAAACAAGGAGAGTGGTCGTCTCTGAACACCGCCACCCTGTCCCCCGCACCTGGAGACCTCCTGGCCCCAGGAAGCAACACAGGCTCCTGCTGCTGCAGCTCAGGGCTCCCTGAGAAGGGGGTGCTTTCACCTGGGGGGCTGGGACGCACAGGCCATGGAGCGCAGGGCAGGTCCCCCCCGGCAGCGCTCTCGCGGGCCCTCCGCCACCCTGAGGCAAAGCCCAGCACCCTCTTGGGTCACTGAGCGGAGCCCATGCCGGCGGCCAGCACAGGAACCGCGCAGAAACCGCTTCCCCAGCTCTGCGGGGTGCGGGTTCCCGCCACACAGGCCAGGGCCGTCCAGGTTGGGTGGGCGCTGGCCCAGGCCGCCTCTGACGGGCTCCCGGCCCTCGCCCACAGAACGCCCTGTACCAGTCCTGCCATGAGGACGAGAACGACGTGCAGACCATCTCCCACAAGTGCCAGGTCGTGGGGCGCGCCCAGTACGAGCAGATGACGCGCGGCCGCAAGCGCCAGGACCGGAGGGACCTCTACTACCTGGCGGGCACCTACGACCCCGCCACGGGGCGCCTGGTGACGGCCGACGGCGTGCCCATCCTGTGCTGAGCCCGTGCCCGCCCGGTGTGCCCGCGGCGCCCGTGCTGCAGCTGCGGGGGCTGGGGGACTCGGACCACGCCGCCAGCCCCACCCCGCCGAGCGGGAGGTGGGGCCAGTGAACAAATATGCAAACCCACCGAGGCAGGATCCAGGCTTTTTTATTATTTTCCCTGGAAAGAGAGAGCCCCTGGGCCTCGGAACCCAGTCGCCCGCCACCGCGGGTCGCTGTGCCCGCCGGGACCCCGCCCGGGCTCTGCTCTCCCATCGGCGGTTCTCGAGAGATTAGAATCCAAGCCATATTTTCCCTAGTACCTCCGACTGTCCCCCACCAGGGAAAGCAGAAATCAGGTGTGTTGTCTATTTATTTCGCTATGTAAATATTGTATTTCTGCGGGGAAGTTTTATGAAAAAAAAAAGTGGGAAAGGATTTCTTTTCCCCACGTGCGTGACGAGGGTGTGTGCACGTGTGTGTGCGTGTGTGTGTGTTGTGTGCAGGTATTTTGTTCTGGGGAGTTTTCTTTGAAAAATGCACTGTTTTCCTCAGCCTAGCTGAGTCCGGCGGGGGCGTCTGTGACGACAGGGAGGGGCGGGGCCCCAGGACGGGTCACACAGGACCCCGGGTCACACCTGCTGGTCTCTGGGGGGGCTGTGTCAGATGGAAGCCACACCCAGTCATTTCATTTTGATCCACCTCCGGGGAAGAAAGGACTTGGGGAGGACTCACCGATGAGGGTCCCACAGGGAGAAGGGACCCCAGAAGCTGAAGTAAACCCACAGCCCTCCCCCCAGAGGATGGCGGCAGACGTGTATCTTACCTCTGTTTCAACGAAACAAAAATGAACAAATATTTTAAAGTGTTGATATGAAAAGTGATGTTTCGATTTCCTTTCCTGAATATTCCCACTTCTCTCTGATTTCCGTTTATCCGGCCTCTGCTGACAACAGGGAAGAGACCAGCCCCCCGACACACGGAGGGTTTCTGGCCTTTTCTGAAGCCCCTGGGCAGGGCCGACGGCCCGGCAGGTGGCGTTGGGGCGAGAACAGGGTCCCTCCGGCTCGCACCCCAGCGTGAACGCAGGGACCACAGTCCTGGGGGGGTGTCCCAGACCCTCAGCAACACTCTGGTAACCCCCTGAAACTTGTCACCTCTTCGCCTGAGGCCAAGAGGGACAGACAGGGTGAGCCAGACCTGTGGCCCAGTGGCCTTGATGTTGGCCTGTCCCACCGCTCAGGCTCCCGGAAAGCCCCCCATGCTGTTGCTCCTAGGGTGAGCTCTCCCCGACACAGCCCAGGTTCCCAGGAAACAAGGGGTATTGGCGGGTACCTGGCACCCCAACCCCGGCCCCTCTCGCCCCTCTCTCTTCTGACCAGGAAACCATCTGGCTGCCTGGAAGGTCCCCCTCCCATTTCCGGCGGCTCTGTGGGAAACGCAGGTGCCAGGAGGGGGTCCCCTGCACCCCAGCTTACCTCCTCTACCCTGCCTCCCCCTTCGTCTGCCCACGAGTGCAATATTTCATTCCTGGTGGTCGCCTGGCAGCCGGCAGCCGTGGTCCTGCCTGCTGCCGGGACGTGGGAGGAGGCTGATGGAGGCCAGGCCAGGGGTCGGCGCAGCCGGGGGACAGCCCCGCACAGAAGTTAGAGCCCGTGGCTGTTTGCAGCCCGAGCAGAGCAGCGGTCTCAGCGCAGGGCCGGGCGCCGCCGCCCTGGGCCCTCCCCTGTGCGGGCTCCTCCCCGGTGCGGGGTCCCCCCCTCGCGTTCTCTCCCCGCCCCGTGTGCGTGTGACCCCACACCCGGCAGAAGCGCCGCTGTTGTAAATGTGTAAACTAAGAGAGGGGGTGGGGTTTTTCAATGTAAACACTAAAAAAACAAAAACACAAAGGTTTTATGAACAGCAAACTCTATGTAAATGCATTTTAGTATTAAATTTTTTATTGATAACTTGCTTAAGAATAAATATATGAACTATTGTACAGGTTTCCAGTGGTCCGGAACCCTCACTGTGCCTCCGTGTCCGTGGGCGCCACATGGTGACTCCCCGGAGGCCCGAGGTGCGGGGTCTCAGCGGACACGCCCGGTGGGCCGAGGCCTGCTCCGTGCCAGGCGGCAGCTGGGACGACGCCCCTCAGGGATGTGGGACCGGGATGGGTTTGCCGTGGTCTTGGCCTTCGAGACGGCCCAGGACGAGGGTCCCTTTCCTTGTAGATCTCGCCCGAGTGAGACAGTGTCCCTGTGGCCGGGGAGGGGGAGAGGGCCGTCAGCCCCACAGGGCACAGGCACCGGGAAGGGGGGCCCCCAAAGTGCTGTGGCCCTCGGGCCAGGGTCGCAGGGGGCTCTAAGGCAGAAGAGTGGGTGAGACCCGGGCAGGGCGGGTGGCCCAGCACAAGCCAGTGCCGACACCCCCTTGGGCCAAGGGCGAACCTCGTCTGTGGACAGGTCATGGGTTTGAATCCTCCATTCAACCAACACTGGTGCTGGCAGTGTGCCAGGCAGCCGCCCAGGCCTCCAGACACCCCGGCGCCCTGAGGGCAGGGGAGGGACGGGAGTTTAGCCAGCACAACCACCAGGGCTCCAGCACCAGGCTCCCTGCGGTGGGCAGACTGACAGGGATGTCCCAGGGAACCAAGTTCCAACTATCCCTAGAGTGGTCCAGGAGGGCTTCTGGGCGGAGGTGGCGCCTGGCTGTGCAGGAGGAAGAGCGGTGCAGGGCAGGCGAGGAGCGCAGGATACGGGGACCTGGTGCTGGAGCAGAGGGGCAGAGCTGGGGGTCCGGAGCCCACGGTGCAGTCGGTCTGTCCTGTCTGCCGGACAACAGCGCCCTCGGAAGGCTCTGGGCAGACAGTGGGCAGTCAGACCAAGACCACTCCCTCTGCAGCCCTGAGCTCAGAGCTAGAGGGCAGGGCCCGGGGGAGGAGCTGGCACCCAGAGGAGGGTCCTAAGGGCCGAGGTTGGGGGCAGGTGCATGCGGCTGGGCTGGGGCGAGGGGCAGAGTGTCCGCCAACAGGCCCAGGACTGTGGGCAGGTTGGGGTGAGACAGGAGGCAGGTGACTATCAGGACCAGCAAGTGGGGGCAACAGCAGGACTAGGTGAGACCCCAAGCGTCTGTTCCCACCAGCCCACCTCCTCCTCCCTCCCTCCAGCCACCCGGCCCCTTCCGCTGTTCCCACCTTAGCTCGGACAGGACAACGGCTGCCCCAGAGCAGGGCTGCCCGAGGGCTGAACGCACAGGCCCCACTTTGATCAAGACGAAGGAGCCATCACACGAAACGCTGAAGCAAGACAGATGACAGGCCCGGGTGGGGATCGATGAGAGCAACGTTTCATCGGGTAGGAGCGACACCGGCTGATCACGCTTCGTCGTTAATACCGCAAACTGACGTGGGCCCGGGGACTTTAACTGCCCAGGCCCCCCGTGGGCGAGGTGGCTGGGGCAGGGCGAGGAGCGGGCCCACACCCAGGCTGGGGACGGGGAGAGGGCGGCTCTGCAGGTCAGCCAGTGAGGGGTCATCTGGGCACTCAGTGGCCAAAGGCCAGTGGCCACTCGGGCCCGAGTCTGAGCAGCGGTGAGAGGCTACTCTGGGCCCCTAAGTGCCAGCTAAGATAGTGGTCACCAAGGACACCGAAAGCTCCCTCGTGCTAGGAAGCTGGGGGCTCAACTCCCTACTGCATTCCCCGCCCCCTGCGGCCACCCCATGCCATTCCCCAGGAGTCCCTGGACAAGCCAGCACCCCTCCAAAGCTGCTTTTCACCTAACATGAGGCCTGCGTCCTTCCCAGGCACCTGCCTCCAGCTGCCTGCTCAGAGCGCGTGAGAGCTGCCAGGCGGGGGCACCACAGGCCGAGGAGCCTGCGTCCACCGGTAGCCGGAGTTGGGGAGGCGGCAGGGCGGAAGGGCCTGGCTCCCCACCTCGGCCTGGGGCCTCCGAGTCTCTGTGAAGTGGGTCCCTGACCTGCTCACCATGAGCTGGGCGAGGTTCCCGGGAGGCTGCAAAGACACCTCCGGACCCCCGGGCAGGGGCCCTTTCTGGGCTGCACACCGCGCCTTGGGCGGGAGGCCGGGCGCTGCCCGCTGCCAGCATGCCGCCCCTCAACCCCAGCCCGGCCAGCAGCGACGGCCCAGGCTGGCACGGCGGGGTCCCTCCCTGCCAACAGGCTCAGGAGCCTGGCTCTCCCCACCTGGCAAGTCCTCACAGCCGCTCCAAGGGTCCCCGTGGCCCTTCTGGGGGCTCCCTGGGGGCACACGTGGGGGCTTCACACCCTCTGACAGTGTTCCTGAGCCATCCACCTGCCACCTGCGTGAAGGACACCGGGCAGGGCCCTGCGCCGCAGGACACACCTCCCTCCCTCCATGCCACCAGGGACCCCACAGCCCAGCGCTCAGGACGGCAGGAGCGTGGGGGCTGCTGGGACAAAGTGGAGGGGAAGGGGGCCTGCGAGCCTTTCAGGGGGTGAGCCGAGCTCTCCAAACCATCCAGCCGCAAACCAGCCAGAGGGCAGGGGCCGGCCCTCCAGTTCCAACCCCTGGATCTCATCCTGACATCCCCCCTCCACACCCTCGAGGGTCCTGAGCCGGCCCAGTTCAGCACAAAGAGGACACGCTGGCCCCCCAACGACCACTCTGCTGGGGGCCGCACGGAGGGCATGCGTCTGCGACCAGAGCCCTCGGGGCTCTCGCGTCCGTTCCGGAGCCGAACACGTGGTTTGACCTTTGCGCAGCCCGCTCACCTCCTGGTGGCCGGGACGTCCTGTCAAAGCGGGAGCAGCCGCATCTGGAGGCAGCCCTGTCCCCAGGGCGCCTGGAGAACCGCCCTGTTCCGGCTGGACCGGGAGCGAGCCGGGGAGGCCAGGGGAGGGCTGGCCGGGGGCACAGCGCCACAGTGAACTAGGACAATCGCTTGTTTCCTCAGGGTCTGCGTTTCCCTGACAACGTCCTTTGCCCCCCTTCCTGTGCTCAGATTGAGTTTCAGGGGCTCTCCGTCACAGCGGGGCCACCGCTGGGTGCTTCCTGCCCCAGTGCCGGCGGCCTCCGAGGCGGAGGCTGCGTCCCTCTGCAGGAAGGGACGGCGAGGGGCTGACCCCGCGGCGCAGGCTGGCCGGGCCAACCCCCGTGGTTCAGAGACCTTCCGCCGTCCTGTGTCCCTTGATGATTCCTGGGGCTGCCAGGAAAGCGGCTGCCCCCCCCCCCCAGTCCATCCCAAACGTCCTAAACCAGCCCTTCTGCCCATCAGGGAGGGCACAGCCCCCGTCTTCTCTCAAACCCCGCGGACGTGACCAGCTCCTGGCAGGAATGCAACTTGTTTCAGTCCGTCCGTCCGTCTGTCATGGGCTGGAGACCTACTGTGCGCTGGGCCCTCGGCCCGGCACTGGGATGCAGCTCCGAGGGGACGACACAAAGCCCCGTCCCCTGGGAGCTGGGAGCCTGCAGGAAAGAGGTGGGCACAGAGCCCGCCATGGCACCAGCGAGCCCACAGCTCCAGGGGGAGCTGTGCTGCAGGGCACCGGGCAGGGCTCCTCGTCAGCACCGGGCACCGGCCATGAAACCCAGGTCAAAGCCCCCAGGAGCCCGGCTGGTGTGGCTCAGGGGCTGAGCGTCGACCCTGCACCAAGAGGTCGCTGGTTCGATTCCCGGTCAGGGCACATGCCCAGGTTGTGGGCCTGATCCCCAGTGGGGGGCCTGCAGGAGGCGGCCAGTCGATGTTCTCTCTCATCGATGTTTCTGTCTCTCTCTCGCTCCCTCTCCCTTCCTCTCTCTCTAAAAATCAATAAAGAAAACAATTTTTTGCCCTGGCCGGTTTGGCTCAGCGGTTAGAGCATCGGCCTGCGGTCCCGAGAGACCCGGGTTCGGTTCCCGCTAAGGGCATGTACCTTGGTTGCAGTTTGTCCCCGGCCCTGGTTGGTCGTGCGGGTGGCAGCCACTCGATGTGTCCCTTTCACATCGATGTTTCTCTCTCTCTCTCTCCCTCCTGCTCTATCTGAACAAAGAATGAAAAAGTGTCCTCGGGTGAGGATAAAAAAAAAAAGAAAACAATTTTTTTAAAAAGAAGACCCTGGGGAGCAGCCCTGTTCTTCCAGTGAAGTTCTGGGGTACCCACGGCTGCTCCCTTCAACTGGTTGAATCCAACAAAAGCAGCTTTCAGAGGAGGGGTGTGCTGGGGGGGCCCTCTTCACGGCACCCCCCAGACACGGTGGCACACAGAACACCTGGCAGCGCCCCCAGCCAGTAGGGACTCTGCTTCGGCTGAGCCTGGGCCTGGGCCTGGGGATCGACTGAGAAAAACGGCTCCAGATGGCGGGGGGTGGGCTCCCCTGGCCTCCCTCAGCCCCTGCCCCTCCGGCCCCAGCAGCCGGGAGCCTGGGGCGCCCACCCCTCCTCCTGGGGATGGACCGGTCTCGCGGCCTCCCCACCACGGGGTCTGCTGAGCGGGGACCCTGGACCCAGCCTGCCCGTTTGGAGCCTGTGAACAGGTTGGAGTTTTCCTCTCATCAGGAAATCTGTTTTCACTTAGAAGAAACAGACACGGGGCCGGCGGTGAGCAGGGCAGTGTCGGGAGACTCCACACCGACAGGGTGATTATGTTTGTCAGCACCGGGCCCTCCAGCCACCCGCTCTGATCCTGGGCCAGCACCCCGAACCGGGGCTCCCCAAGGTTCTGCGATGGCTCCTCTCTGGGGATGCCTGCTGGATGTGGCTGCCCGAAGCCACTTGCCAGGGGACCCAGGAGCCAGGAGAGGCCCCTATGTCCCGTGCCCAGGGACACACACACACACACACACACACACACACGTCCCCCACCCCAACCCTAGCAGGGCCAATCAGGGTGCCTCTGCCTTCTCTGCCATGGTGATTGGCTTTGGGGTGGGCATGTGACCGAGCAGAGCCAATCAGGGCCAAGCTCTG